TGTGCCAACAAACAGCGTATGGTAGTTAATGACTACCTCCATGATGTAGAGTGTGTTTTCCCGTACGCGGGAGGGGACTTGAGACATCGTGTCTCGTTCCTGGTGAGTGACGAGCTCCCAATGGACATGTTACTAGGTATGTACTACCTCTCTGTAGCACAACCCCAGTTTGACTGGGACCGAAAAATGGTCAAACACACGTTGCCAGGTGGAGGGACCGCCAGATTACATAAGTTCAAAGCTAGTAGTCTGATTGAGTCCTATGGGTGCATGTGTGCGGCCGATTCTATAATTATTATAAGCAAAATCAGGAGAAGGGTATGTACTTAGTCTATGTGTGTGCTGCAGGCGAGCCGGTGAAAATGCCGCCAGAGATAGAGGGAGTAGTTGCTAAGTACCCTGATCTATTTGAAGAGCCGACACGGGTTGTTGAGAGGGAGGTCGTCCACGCGATAGAGATTATCCCAGGGTCTAGTATTCCAAGGGGTAGGATCTATCGGATGTCTCCAGGCGAGCTTGATGAGCTTCGCCGACAACTCAAGGAACTCGTAGAGAAGGGTTGGATCCGGCCGAGTGTCTCTCCTTATGGGTTTCCAGTTTTATTCGTGCCTAAGAAGAAGGAGGGAACTCTAAGGATGTGCATTGACTATAGGGGCCTCAATGCCATCATTGTGAAGAACAAAGAGCCCCTACCGCGCATCGATGATCTGTTAGATAGAGTGCAAGGGTGTCGGTACTTCAGTAAAATAGATTTGAAGTCCGGGTACCATCAGATTGCAATCCGGCCCGAGGATCAACACAAAACCGCATTTCAGACCAGGTACGGTTTGTACGAGTTTGTGGTGATGCCTTTTGGCCTTTGCAATGCTCCTGGCACCTTTCAGCACGCTATGAATCGGATATTYCATGACTACTTGGATAAGTTTGTCGTCGTGTACCTCGATGACATACTTATTTTTAGTAAGACTGTCGAGGAGCACGTAGCACACTTAGACAAAGTTCTTAGTCTCCTGCGACAGCACAAGTTCAAGATCGACGGTGAAAAGTGCTAGTTTGGCCGCACCCGTATCTTGTACTTGGGTCATGAGATCTCCGCAGAAGGGTTGAAGCCCGATGACGCGAAGGTGGCCAGCATTCGTGATTGGCCACGTCCTCAGTCTGTGACTGAGATGAGATCTTTCTTAGGAATGACAGGCTACTATAGGACTTCCGTTAAGAACTACAGCACGGTGGCCGCTCCTTTGACTGATCTGACCCGCCTTGACACCCCTTGGGAGTGGACAGATAAGTGCGAGGCTACTTTCAGACATCTGAAGCATGCATTGACGCACTATGAAGTCTTGAAACTTCCTGATCCTGACAAGCCGTTTATAGTTACAATGGATGCCAGCCAATATGGCATTGGCGCCGTGCTTGCGCAGCAGGAGGGGCCAAAGTTGAGGCCTGTAGAGTACATGTCCAAGAAAATGTCGTCTCAGAAGTTGGCTAAGTCCACTTATGAGAAGGAACTCTATGCGGTGTACAAGGCTCTCACCCATTGGAGACATTACCTCCTTGGGCGGTTCTTCATCCTCCGGACTGATCATCAGACCCTGAGATGGATGAGAACACAGCCGGTACTCTCTGACGCTCTCAAGCGTTGGATCGAAGTCATTGAGCAATATGACTTTGACCCTCAGTATCTCAAAGGGGAGTGCAACAAGGTTGTTGATGCCTTGTCGCGCAGACCGGACTTCTCAGGTGCGCTGATTACTGAGTTCGATCTGACGGACGATGTTACTCGGTCTTTGGTGGAAGCCTATCGTCAGGACCAGTTTATGTCTGAGATCATACAGAGACTTGAGACGAAGGATAAGAAGACCTCCGCCGAGTTTGAGTTGGTCAATGGATTGGTGTTCCTAGAGAAGGCAGGGAATAAACGCTTGTGCGTTCCAAATAGCGAGTTTTTGCATAGTTTGTTTTTAGGCGAGTGTCATGATGCCACCGGCCATTTTGGGTACAAGAAGACCGCAGCCAACTTGCTGCAGCGGTTCTGGTGGCCCACGATGATGACAGATGCACAGCTGTACGTGGAAACTTGTCGAGTATGCCAAAGAGACAAGCCCCGTACTCAGGCTCCTCTTGGGCTGCTCAAGCCCCTTCCGATTCCGGAAAGGCCGGGTGAAAGTTTATCCATGGACTTCATGGATACGCTGGTCACCAGCAAGAGTGGGATGAGACAGATCTTTGTCATCGTGGATAGGTTTAGTAAGTTTGCTAGATTAATAGCTATGCCAGAAACAGCAAAGACCGAGTACGTGATCAGGCTATTTAAAGAAAACTGGGTTAGAGACTTTGGACTGCCGAAGTCTATAGTCAGTGACAGGGACGTCAGGTTCACGAGTGAATTATGGAAGGACGCTGCAGCTGAACAAGGAACTCAACTGCAGATGACTTCTGGAAATCATCCAGAAGCTAATGGCCAGGCTGAACRAATGAACYGCGCTGTGCAACACCTGTTGAGGCACTACATCAAGCCCAATCAGGTAGACTGGGACGAAAAGCTTGCTCTAGTCGCTAGTCTATATAACAACGMTGTGCACAGTGCTACYGGGACGAGTCCTAACAGTCTACAACTGACATTCAARCCTAGACTGCCCTTAGAYTTCCTACTTCCAGACAACCAGCCAACTGCTACACCGGGCACTCTGGAGTTCGCCTATAGATATGAACAGAAGATGCAGGAGGCTGTAGAACACATGCAGAAGGCACAAGCAGCAATGATAGAGTCTGAGAATAGACACCRCCGCCCTTCTACATTTCAGGTWGGGGACAGAGTCTGGGTCAAATCTTCAGAACTGGGACAGGAGTTCGTGATATCCCGCAAACTCATGCCTCAGTACTTTGGACCTTGGGAAGTTTTAGACGTAGTAGGGACAGATCCTGATGGTCCATCATATGTCATCCGTATCCCTGGTCATCTCAGAACTTACCCAGTCTTTCMCGCCTCTAAGCTCGCTGCATTCGAGGAAACTGATCAGTTTCCCTCTCGTCGATCCATGCTGCCCCCAACCATGGACGGAGAAGTCGACATTGATGATATCGTTGACCACAGGGAGATGCCTCTTCAGAAGCCTCCAGGAAGGGGACGTCCTCCAAAGCCAAAGCTGCAGCTCCGAGTCCACTTCAGACATCATACAGATCCGAAGGAGGACCGCTGGTTTACTCGGGAGGAACTGATGCAGACCGCTCCTCAAATCGTTGCCCGCTATGAGAAGGATGTACTGAAAGGAAAGCGCCAGATGGCTACAGATTGATCTTCGAAGAGGACTAACGAAGATATGGAGGAGGGAATGCGAGGCTACGCCCGCTTAGCCCCTACGGGGCCCTATCTGCAACAAGGTCGGCCGCCCTAAGTGAAGGCAGGCATGACAGGCCCTTCGGGCCTCATTCTTCAGGGTACCCCGCATCGGGAAAATTCAGACAGTTGCGTTGCGCCAGTTGGTTGAATGAATCCAGGCCCTGGGCCGCCTGTGTAAATGAATGTGAAGCAGGCCCTGGGCTGGATATGGGTACCAGGCCAAACACAGGCCGAAAGCAGTTGGGCGCATACCACTTCAGGCCCAAGGCCTGCTCTCTTCGTGACTGGGCCTGTGCCTACCGGGGCGTACCGGAAGCTTCCTCTGCGTGGATCGGGGTTGTGAGTGTTACGAGAGACATACCTGGTGCTGAAGCGTGCGACATTGGTCGCCATATGCTCGTACWYCGGGAACGCTGTTGATGTCATCATTCTGCTTCGTAGTATAGGCTAGATAGGATCTGCCACCTGTAGTCTGGGCGCCGAGCGCCAATAGGATATCAACTCTGGTTCGTAGTTGATGATGATGGGACTACTTCAGCATTGTCAATTTTGAACTCTTGGTGTGTTCTTATTTGGTGTATCTCGTGATGCCAGTCTGCTGTGGTTCGAGGTCAAGACTATCTGGGCTCATATGTATGATGCTGTTTGATTGCTGAAGTTCGCTAATGCTCATCTTCCTTGCAACAGGGTGTAACCCCTAATATTATTGAACCCTCAGGATTTGAAGTCATTCTCTGCCTAGAAACAGTTGCGCCATTCAGCCACAAGCCAGATACCTTTTACGGCTTTCGTTGAAAATGATGTCACTTCTTTTTCTAAAAATTCTCTCTCTATTCGTGTTCTTTTGAGAGAGAATTTCGTAGTTCCTGTTCCTCCTCCTTGTTTTGGGGTTGAGTGAGGTCGTCTTGTTTATCCTCTGCACTTGAAGACAACTAAACTTGCCGAGCCATGAGCAACTTGGTATTCACTTGTCATTGTATTTCTCAGGTCCGTACGGATATGGACCAAGGCTTGCTTCCACTGGAGATGTTCTACATAACCAAGACGTTGACCCGAAATCCAGAAGAGTATCCTGATGGTCGAAGCCAGCCACATGTGCAGGTCGGTTCCTTTTCAGGTACCACCACCACTTGCCCGTCCAATGTGTTGTGCTCCGTCTCAATTTAGCTCTGGTCTTTGAGATTTGAAATGGAATGTTTGTGCCACGCGATGTTTCTGAATAACTGCAAATGGTGGATGTCATAGAGAATGCAGTTTATTTCCTTCTTTGCCGTTTGGAAATGCAATTTCAGAAGGCTGAAGAATGGAACATCCTTGAGGAACAGCAACACACTAAGACAACTGTTGAGACTCTGCAAAGTATGAAACTGAACTGCAGAGTGCCATGAATACAATTGTGAGTGGAAGAGTAAAACTAAGTGAGCCAACAGTTCAAAAGCAGTGGTCCCAAGAAGGCCTAGTAATAGCCCTTTCCTGCTTTCTTTAAGAAGAATTGGTCTATCACAGCTTTGTTTGCGGCACGCAGAGGAAGACTATTGTGGGAGGTGTCGAAAGTTAAGAATTGTGGCACACAGGGGAAATCTGTTGTGGGATGAGTAGAAGGGTGAGAAAGGTGGATGGCAATGGTATGTGAATACACATATGGCGGTATGGAGTGTGTGCATTGGTTGTGGGTGGAGGTAGAGGAGGGTGGGTGGAGCGTAGGAGACGGTAGTCTGTGCGTTCATATCTGTGTTCTGATATTGCTCTCATGTCGGGCCATGCTGTTGTTCTTGATGTAATGCACAGGCCAAGATGGTAGGGGGGAGGAGGACAAGTAGCAGAAGAAAGAAGAAGGGGAAGAGTGGAGGAAGACAGGAGGAGGAGAACTAGGAAGTGGAGAAAAGAGAGAGTAGAGTAGAGGACGAAGAACAGGGTGGAGGGCATCGAGAAGTTGGTATGGGATGTGTTTCTGTTTTAGCAGTTGAGACATTTCATTCAGTTGCCATACAGGATTTTCCAGGTGAGATCTAGGCGGAGGAGAAGGAAGAGGAAGTAGAGCAGAGGAAGAAGACAAAGGTGAAGGTTATTGAGGAGTCTATATGGGTTCTGTTTCTGCTTCAATAGCCGAGCCGTCGGATTCAGCGGCTATACCCAAAAAAAAAAGTTGGGGCTCACACTGGTGCAAACGGACCAGTCGACGGCTGCGTCCCCCGGTTGTGGGTGGCTAATTGTCGGCCATGCTGCTTGTGGCTAGGCAGTCTGACCCCTGACCCCTGAACCCTGAACCCTAAACTCTGAACACTAAACTGTAAACCCTCATTTGTGCTGCATGCAGTCCGTAGGAGAACTCTGCAGTTTGTTCAGCAGGTGAAAATGGAGTTTTTCTCTCATCGAACTCTCTCATGAAACCTGTGAATCCTCCAGTATCTTCCTCAGGCTATGTTGCGATGGCAGCGTGGCCAAGTTGCTGCCTGAGGGGAGTCTTTCTTTCTTTGAGTTGACTGCTGAACTATGTTGTGTTTCTTTCTCAGGTTGCCTTGCGTCGTAAGCAGAGTGGTCGTAGAGAGGGCTGTTGCGTTGGTGATGCTGTTCCTTACATTATATGCACACACAAGGTAAGGATGGTGATCTGCAGCCTTTGTTTCTGTATCACTTGCTCCCATGCTTGTGTAGCGGGTTTGGAGGACTGCAGTGATGTGCATGTTCTAAACCACCGACCCCATTTGATGCATACCATTATAGAAATCCCGAAGGGCCCAAACATCATTTTCCAGAAGAAGCGCATCGCCCAGTTTTGAAACCAGTCACCAAGTTTTCAGACCGGCCATGCATCTGGGCCGTTCATGCCAGCGAACGGCCCAGATGCATGGCCGATCTTAACGTTTGGTGATCGGCTGCGAATCAAGGCCGTCCTCCGACACAGGCCCAGATGGCCACCTGGGGGAGGCCTACCAGCCCTCCCAAAATTTTCTGTGCTCCACTGCTCGCCTGACAGATTTAGTGGTGTTGGTAGGCCCTTTGCAGACACAGTTTAGGGCCTAATGGCCGTGATTTGTTTTGCTGCAGTGGCGCTCAACAATTGGTAGGGCGGGGTGGCCGAACTCCGCCACAAGTGGTTAATGGGACTCCCACTTTTCAGCTCTTGGGTTGAGGGGTCCAGAACTGAAATCCGGCTTTGGGTGTCAAATTTTGTGTTTTTTTTTCGGTTCAACGTTGCTGTGTGCCAACTTTGGTGTCTTTTGGGGTATTGGAATTTCGTTCAATTTCCTCTGCTGACACTTCTGAAATTGGAATGCTGGTGGAATTTGCATGAAAGTGCACTTTTGCCTTGCAAGTTTATAGGTTTTTGTTTTTGGTTAAACACGGTGTCCACTCTATGAGTTGGTGGCAAGTTTGGTTAAAAATTAAAATGGATGGCCCTTGGGTTTTTTATTAATGGCGTGACAAATTGTCTCTCTCAACCCTGCATGTGGGGCCTGCCGTTCCTTCCAACTACAAGTGGGGTGCTCTGTGTGTGTGTGTGTGTGTGTGTGTGTGTGTGTGTGTGTGTGTGTGTGTGTGTGTGTGAGAGAGAGAGAGAGAGAGAGAGAGAGAGAGAG